AACTCACAGAGATCCGCCTGGCTCTGCCTCCCGAGTGCTGGGATTAAAGGCGTGCACCAACACCACCCGGCTAGAATTTTCATACAATATATTTTAATCATATTCATCTCCTCCTCCAACTCCTCCCAGACCAGTGGTCCTTAAACTTCCTAATGCTGCAACCCTTTTAATACAGTTCCTCATGTTGTGGTGACCCCAACCATAAGTTAATTTCACTGCTACTTCATAACTGTAATTTTGTTAGTTATTATTATAATGTAAATATCTGATATATAGGATATCTGATATGCAACTCTCAAAGAGTTTGAGAACCTCTGTTCTAGATCCACCCCTACTACCTTCCTACCCACCTAATCTCTTGTTCTTCACCAGACTCTTGAAAGAAAACAAAACAAAACAAAACAACTGCCCCCCAAACCCCATCAAGTCCAATTTTTGTTGCCGTGAGTGTGAAGCCTACTGTGAAGTATGGCTGACCTACTAGTGAGCACACCACTAAAGAAATCTGACTCCCCTTCTTTGAGCACTCATCAAATGCTGATAGCTCCTCAGCTAGGGGCAGGACTTCATGGCCACCTCCCCCTTTTAGGCTTGGGTTGGCAGAGGTCTTGTTCATGCTGTTATCACTGCTGTGAGTTCATGAGCAGCTGTCCTCTTGCGTCTGGAAAACAGTTTCCCTGAAGTTATCCACCGCCCGGGGCTCTTGTAAGCTCCCCACCCTTCTCCCACGAAGATCCTTAAGCCTTGGAGGGAGGCGCATGATACAGAAGTCCCATTTAGGGCTCAGAACTCCGAAGTCTCGTATTTTTTGCATGTTGATCAGTTGTGAGTCTCTGTGCTAGTCACCATCTTTTGCAAGAGAAAGCTTCTCTGATGAGAGTTGAGAGATGCACTGACCGTGGGTATATCAGTGAGTTATTAGGGGTCATTTTAATACTGTATCTACTTAATAGACTAATATTACTAGGGCCTATGACCTATCTAGCCACAGGTTCTTGTTCCCATTAACAGTACCAAGTATGAGTTTCATTTCATGGAGTGGGGCTTAAATACAATCAGAAAATGGTTAGTTACCCTCATAACATTTGTGCCACTATTTTACCAGTGAGCCTATCTTGCCAGGCAGGTCATTATTGTAGCTTTCAGGGTTCACAGTTAGGTGAGACTGATAATGACTTTTCTCTTCTAGTAGTGTACATAGCCCTTCCAGCACTCTGAAAGCTAGCCAGGAGTGATCGCACTTCCATGTTTATGACTCAAGTAAGGTGTCATTTGCAGTGGAGTCCTACCATCAAGTTCTGGGTGGTAATCAGGAGCAATGGCAACAGCCATTCATATTTTTTGGGTGGTGTCTATGGGAACTCATTGGCTAAAATCTCAAAAATAATAACCCATTCCTAGGGTTTGTATTTGCTAGCATGTGGCATCCAGTTGGAGTATTGTTCTCCTGTTATAGGGTATTCTGCTTGGTCCCTGACATAAGTTAGAGTTATCTAGGAAAAGGGATCATCAATTAAAGAAATGCATGCCTCCATCAGTTTAGCCTGTAGGCAGGTCTGTGAAGAATTTTTGTGACTGATGTCAGAAGGCTCAGCCTGCTGTGGATGGTACCACCCCTGGGGAAGTGGGTGGTATAAGAAAGCAAGATGAACAAGCATTTCCCCACGGTCTCTGCTTTAATTCCTGTCCCGATTCCCCTTCATGACGGACTGTAAGCTGTAAGGTGAAATAAACATT